TGACCTCAGCATCCAATAGGGCTGACTCACACATGAACAGTGGTGATAGACGCAGGAATTTTCTGTCAGTTTATCCAGTTCTACACGCAGTTCAGTCACTTGTACTAAACATGGGACATCGTTTGAATGCACGGAAAACATAAATCCATTGTTTTTGCTGTGCGTTGGTAATGGTAGCTTGGTTATTGTGCACAACAATTATCAAACAGTTTTTTTACGGCAAGTAAAACACAGTTGAGTTGGATTTCAAGTAATTTCAAGATGCCAGTTCTGACTTCTGAGGTAAATGGAGTGCAGCCTAATGTTGGTTTCAGTTGGGTGAAATCTGCAGGTTCACCTCTAAATGCCACTTCAATCCATACCTAGTAATTTACATGTGCAACAGCGTGATTCTTACTATATTTGTGAGTTGGTAATTAATAAAAAAAATAGTAAAACTGAAGCCATGTCTCGCAATATCTCATCAAAGTTCATGCTCAATAATAGATGAAAAAAAAAAAAAATCCAACAAAGTTCAGTCAAGTCATCTGGACGGTTTCTTTTTTTTGTTGTTAAGACGTTTCGTCCTTCATCCAAAGGCCTTCATCAGGACCCCAGAAACCATCTTATCACCAGCAAACTGGTTGGTCCACTATGTGAGTGTGCTGCTTGTGGGACTGAGTTTGTTGTGTCTCCTCGGACTGATGAAGTACTTTGGATTAAGGACAAAACGTCTCAACAAAAAAATAAACCGTCCAGTTGACCTGAATGAACTTTGTTTGATATTTTACCTGGATTAGTGAGCATGAACTTTGATGTTTTGAACCACTTTGGCTATGGCTGCCTCAGAGGAGTTGAAGGGGGAGACGGCGGGCCCCAGGAACCATCTTAATACCATCAAATTGGTTGGTCCACTATGGGAGTGCACTGCTTGTGGGACTAAGTTTGTTGTGCCTCCTTGGAATGATGAAGTCCTTTGGATGAAGGACGAAATGTCTCAACAACAATAAAAAAAAACGTCCAGAGGACCTGACTGAACTTTGTTGGATATGTATCGCATTCTTTCTGCAATGTTCAAAATTAGCTTTGTGCCTCCCTGTGGTTTTCTCCTAAGTTTTGCTATCACTTCAACTTTTTATTTTCATATTTTTGAGAAAATAAAATATAGTTTATTTCTTAAGATCCCCAACTGAGGATTCCGCACTCTTCACTTCCTCCATGACCATGAGCAGAATTCTTAAAAGTGTTTCACCACTTTAAAGGTTCTTGCAGGTGGTTGGGTCTGTGTGTCCAACTTGTAAACACACCATGTTGGTCTAATTTTAAATTCTACATGCATGCAGGCGTTTATTACAATTTTTCCAGCCTTTTATGGAAAAATTGGATAAATTAACAACTGCATTCCTATTGGACCTATCTTGCCAGATTTCTACAGGCAACTCAGATTTGTTCTGCTGGTGCCAGCGTCTCAGCAGGTTAGAGCATTTTACTCTTAACACAGATCAACATATTGGTTTTCCATGTTGTTCATCCAGTATTTATAAACATGTATTTATATTTGAAATGTCAAAACATTAAATATGTTATTCAATTTTTTCAAAATTGTGCTAAGAATGCATGTGACATTCCCACCATGCAGAGAAAATCCCATATTGGGACAAACAAAAATAGAATTTGGGACCCATGGATTCAAGTGGTTTCTAAAAGGACTCCTATGGTTACATAAGTACTATATTGTGTTAGATGATTATATAACTTGCACCTTTCACTCAGTGCAGCAGATAAAGTAACGATAATCCTCAGAGCCTGATCTCCTGATCGTGTATGCATAGCGTCAGACATGAGTTTGTGAATGTTGCTCTAAGCCACTAGCATCTGGCCCATTGTCTGCTTCTACGGCTGGCTGCCTGATTAGCTGCTACAGTGCTGCAAATCTAGGCGGAGAGAATTAGCTCTTTGTGCGCGAGTGTGTGCAAGAGAAAAAGTGTGTCAGAAAGAGAGAGAGAGCATTTGTGGGAAAGAAGCAGCAAGAAAGTGTTTGTGATTGTAAGAGCGAGTAACGGGTGTGCCTCAGGGGAGGTCATGTGTGTGAATTTTAATGGCGGTGTGTTTTTGTGTCTGCGGTGTTGATTTGAGTGCATCGAATCAAGTTCCTGGGAGTTTGAATCTAAAAATTGCTAAAAATGACTAAACTGCACAGAAGGCAGGCGGTGTGCACAATAACACACACACTTTGATCAAATCAGTGTTTATGATTCTGTTTTATACAGTTTTATGTTTCCCTTTATATGAAAGAACCTGAAGAGCATGTCCAGAAATATGATTATCGTATTTTCCGGCGTATATGTTGCAGGGTTTTTTTGTATAGATTTGTCAGTTCTGCGACTTGTGTACGTTTTTTTCCCCATATTCATAACACAATTTTTGACTGACGCTTGAAATTGCGAAGAACTGCAACAGTGAGTCCTCCCGTGCGCGCTCGCTTCACTCAGCTGGTGCAGGCGAAGGAACGCTGGAGAGCTTGTGGCTTCGGCCGCGATGGATGGTTGGATGGATGGCGCCGCACCATCCAGGTGAAATGAAGCTGTTTTGACCATTAAATAAATGCGATGGGTCAGCGGTGATGCATAAGAACTGCAACTTATACGCCAAAGTGACTTATATATATATATATTTCCTGTTCATGATGCTTTTTTTGACTGATGCGACTTATATGCTGGAAAATACGGTAGTTCCTATAGCTCAGAATTACAACGAGGCTTTCAGAAGGTGGGCAGCGGGTGTCGACATTTCACCGCCGGCGACACCGCGGCTGGTTTGATCAGCTTCATGTCAAAGACATGCGACTCAGCTGCATCAAGAGCCCACGCTGAAGTTCAGGTCTTTGACCATTAGAGGTTAAAGGTCACACACTGGAGGTGACCAGTAATCACTTTCTTTAGTATTATCTTTGCTGTACTTCATTATTTACTCTTTTACTCTAGAGGTAAGTAACAAGTAAACAACAGTAATTTTGTATGATACAAATATTCTACGACTAATGTTTGCTCAAGTGTTAAATCATCATCTTCAGCAGGAGGCGGTGACCTGCACTGCGATGCTAAAGAGCCCACCACAGCAGATGTGTTCTGTCCAGTTCATGATCCACTTGTTCACCAAGTTTCAAGAACTTCTGAGTTTTCATGTATTAAATCTGACAGAAACAAACAGCTCCCTTTCTGCTCTCCCCTTCACAAGTGGAAAAAAAAAAGCATCTGAGCTTTAATTACTTTTATTAAATACTTAGGTACCACTTTACAATAAGTTTCCCCTTATAGTTAGCTAATAAACAGTATATAGCTACATTATTAATTCCTCTACAAACACTTTATAAACCATTAACAATTGTTTATTATGCATTAATTAAGGGTGACGGAGACAAAACTGACTGTTTTCAAATAGTGAGCTAAATCTGCCACCTATATATTTAATCGACATTTGTTATATTAAACATTTCAGACTAAGTTCTAACTTGTGAGCCCAATAATCATTTGTAAACCTAATTTTTTTTAGGATATAATATTAGTTGTAGATTCTTATAATACAACGATAAAGTACAATATTATAACCTAAAGAAATTAGGTTTACAAATGCTTATTGTGCTTACAAGTTAGAGCTTAGTCTGAAAAGTTTAATATAGCAAATGTTGATTAAATATATAGGTGGCAGATTTGGCTCACTATTTGAAAACAGTCAGTTTTGTCTCCGTCACCCTTAATTAATGCATAATACACAATTGTTAATGATTTATAAAGTGTTTATAGAGGAATTAATAACATCTATAAACTACTTACAAGCCATCTATAAGGGGAGCCTCATTGTAAAGTGGTGCCAATATTTACTATGGATTATTTTTGTTATGCATTACTATTTATAGAGGTAATGATTTTAGATATTGGTAGAAATATAGTACATTTTAAACTAATTCGTCCTACTTGCACTACTATATTCTACCATGCTGTTGTTTACTATATTTATTTTGGACCTTGTAAAATATTATATTTCTATTATAATTTTTGGTACTTTATTTTGTATCTTTTAGTATTTTTTTTTTTTTGCGAGTCAAATCGGTTCTTCTCATCCTGAATTGTTGATCTTGTGCTAACCTGCATAAGACAAATAAACAAGCATAGCATAGCATGCTACCATTTCTTAGTTATAAATGCATTGTGTCATATCAGGACTGGTTTTGAACATTTACCGAACCATAGTTGAGCTAATCCAATATATGCACATGAGCAAAACAATACGACCACCAATCCAACGTGCTGAAGATTTACTATGAAAAAGAGGAAACCGAAATTTAAACGATCTCCGAGATTATTCAACGCTAAACGCTGATCCTTTAGGTTGTTCTGTTTGATCAGGGAATTCTTTCAGCACTTTTCAGTCGCCAGTTTCTCCACATTCAACATTTTGTTTCATGATTTGACCATCTCAGACCTCAATGAAGCGAGTTAAACTTGTATTTTTTCCAACAGTTGGGGGTGATTTTTGGTTGTAAATTTAAATATTGAAGAATAAAGAATGTGACAGAGTCAGAATGGATTTGTGCGGAAGTTTAAAAGCCGTAAACGTTTCACGGTTGGGTTTTATAACGTTTTGTTCAGTCGTCAGCACACAGCTTCGGCTAGTCTTTGGGTTTTATCACACATACTGTACTTTATGTCTCATTAACTGATTCTTTGACATGTAGCACATTTATACACATTTAAAAGTCTTAAGTCAAATGATTCTTCAGCATTAGAGGTCATGTAGATTAGTAACTCATCCTCAGTGAGTTCCTTTTGGAAATATCAGATTATTTTATCACAAATAAAACTCATTTACTTATAATTGTTTTAATGGTAGTGCATAATGAAGGTCCTATATGTCCACATTTATTAACCTGCAGGTTGTTTTTTAAACCCCAAGATTTGAATGACAGTGCTTAAACATAAAAGAGTGAGTTGTGTTGCAACGTAGGGGAAAGATATACCAACCCGTGGTCGTAGTTGTAATAATCCTGTGTGTAATAATCCTGACCAGGATCGATGCCTGATTCCATCGACAACTCCTGTCAAATGGAAAAAAACAACTTTTCACAAACTGAGCACAGATTCATTTGAAACAAACAAACAAACTTGAAGAACAGAGTTAATGCTTGAACAAAAGAACTGAAAAAGAGAGTCTGAAAAACGAGAGAATACCTCAGGCCTGAGCAGAGAGGGTCGGAGAAGTTGTTGCGTCTGCCAGGAGGAAGGAAGAGCAGCGAAGGAAAAGGAGCTGAGTTTGTTAATAAAACAAAAGGTTTGTGCATTCCTGCTTCAAATCACTGCCGCATACATAAAGGATGATGTAATTTACTAAAAGCTGTGAAATAACATAAAATCCAATTGAGCAAGATTATGTTTCCATTAGTTACTTATGGTTTCATAATCACAAAAAAGTAAAAGAACATCACACCGAAAAATAATAAATAAATAAGACCACTCAGCTCTCTAATCATATCTCAGCTTGTAATCAATCTTTTAAGCAGTTTTCAGTTCGTGTTTGATGGATTGTCATTCACGGTTTCTGTAAAATGCCATTTCTTTGAGGCTTTTAGGCCAGTCTTGTCTGCACTCCTCTGCTGAGCTTCACATGATCTGTTCTGTTCTGAACCGAGAGGGTTGGGGCCAAAACTTCAGCTTGCATCTCCTGAGGCAGTCCAGAATGGACGTGTAGGTAAACGATGTGTTGAGGACAAATGTACGGTCTTTCTTGGATATTTTTATTCACTCAATGATAAATTTATTATAATTGTTTAACTGTATAGTACAGTTCTGTCCACCTTCTGAAGGTAGACTTATATACCGTATTTGCTGGCGTATAAGTCACATCTTTTTGCATAAATTTGCAAGTCCTGCGACTTATACACTGAAGTGACTAATATATGTTTTTCCCATATTTATAATCCAATTTTTGGCTAAGATCTGACGATTTCATTCATTCTGACATGAAAAATATTAAACATTACCATTTGCAGCCTCTAGAGGGCCCTCGACTAATATGGCAAGCAAAGTGTCTTATTAATAGATACAAGTGACTATTAATGAGACACTTGGCTTGCCAAAAGAGCCATTTTCGTCTTGCTCCAGAACTCCTGGAGCAAACATCAAATCAGCTGCATTTCACTGCGCCGCCCAGGAGAAATGCAGCTGATTTAACCGTTAAAGTACATTTATTAAGGAAAAGTTCAACTGAGACACACCTTTGCGATAATGTCAAATAAATAATTGTTTTTAAGTGTTAATCTTGTTAAATTCTTGTTAAAGTCTTCCTGGGCATGTTGCTGAGGCCACCATTTGGCAGCCAATCGATTTTTGGCACAACACTGGCCCACATTTCCAGGCGGTCAGCGGTGACACATAAAAGATGCGACTTATACGGCAAAGCGACTTATTTATGTTTTTCCACTTTATTAGACATTTTTGGACTGATGCCATTTATACAGCGGTGCAACATGTACGGCAGCAAGTACAGTACTTTTATAAACTTTGTATTTTATGTCTTTGTGTCACTTGATTTCTTCATGATCCTGACAGAAATTTGAAGCAGGGATGCCAAATTTTTGTCATGCAATGTTTTCATTTAGCTTGAAGGTGATGATAAAATTTTTCATTTTAAATCTAAAACAAATATATCACCTTAAAAATTAGGTTTAATTGAAATTAAAAACGAGATGCATTAAAAAAGAGGTGGTATGCACGCAGACAAAACATGCAACTTCATTCAAACTGCACAAAAACAGAAAAGATCTAAAGATCAAATAAAATGCATTAAGGTGATAATTACAGCAAGTATTAAATAAAAAACTTCTACCTCGTGTTGTCCATATCCTCGCCTAGAAGATTTTGGAGAGAAAGAGTAACATTTTTAGACAAAAGTCACCAAGAAAGTAAGTCATTAAATATAAAACCTTTATTTTGCTTCAGATATGCATTTTAGTGGACGTGATGGATTCATAACATATTTTGAATGGTGAGCAAATTGTGTTTTAAAACTGCATTTAAATGGCTCATATATAAACTACTTAATGTATGCTGTGACACACTCGTCTTTGAATGTGTGCATCCTCTAAACTAGCACTTCCAAGTCTGCTCTACTAATTAGAGACAAGTGCTTTAATGTATTACTTTATAAATTTACAGGGGTGCAGACTTGGTGTGGGACATAATAATTTCATGAATAGATTGATAAGGTAACTTCCAAAATGTCAGTAACTCGAGTAAAAATCCAAGACAAATTTCTGGAAATGTATTTTCTTTTGAAGGCACCAACCTAAACATAAATCAACAAACTAAATATAATCTAAAGAACAACATTACTCTCTTTTCTATTGGTGAAAATGTCTTGGGGTTCATTTTTATACTTAAATCCTATAAGATGTTCCCTTTCGCAAGTGAATTAAAGGAACAGTTAAACATTGAGGGGGGGGAAAGAGCATTTTTGCGTTGAGAAAAACTGAAAAGATTCAGGGGAAATTCACGTTTTATGTGTCTTGTCGTCTGTAAGACCAGTGCAGATTACGGTGTGTCACCTCTCTCCAGCTCCCTCTGCGACCAACCTCTAGACGTCTAACAAATTGTAAAAACAGAGCGAGCGTGCCCAGAGCACCTGGATCAATTTTTCATTCAGAAAAAGAACACTGAGGTAAATACCAGAACAACATGGACAAAATTTCACACATATTACGACTAAAACAGCAGGAAAGTTAAAAAAAAAAGTATTCACTGCCCACTTTATTAGTTACACAATGCTAATAGCAGGTTGGACACCCTATTGTCATTTGAACAGCCTTAATTTTGTAGCATAGATTTAATAATGTGTTGAAATCAGTCTTCAGACATTTTGGTCCATATTCACATGATAATATCACACAGTTGCTGCAGATTCAACAGCTACACATCCATGATGTCGCTTCCATTTTCCACCATAACGCAAAAGTGCAGAATTGGTTTGAGACATGTTTGAGATTCATCTGACTCAAGTAAAGTTTTTCCAATCTCTTATTTTTATTTTAGCCTGTGGGAATTGTAGACCCAGTGTATTGTTCTTAGTTTGCATGACTAGCACTTGGGGTGATGGTCTTCTGCTGAAGGTTATCTGCTTCAGGGTTCAAGTGTTGTGCATTCACACATGGTATTCTGCAGACTGTGGTTGCAACAAGTCGTTATTTGAGCTACTGTTATCTTTCCATCATCTCAAACTGGTCTGCCTCTTCTCCCCAGACCGCCAACATGAACAGGACAATATCGTCCACACAACTGCAGCTCCGGATATTTGGTTTCCAGATCATTCTCTGTAAACCCTAGATGTGGTTGTACATGACAATCCCAGTAAATCAGGTGTTTCTGAAAGACTCAAACCATATCATATTCAAAGCTACATACATCCACTTTCTTCCCCATTCTGATGCTCGGTTTGAATTTCAACAACTTGTCTTCGTCACATCTGGATGCCTAAAGGCACCGAGTTGCTGCCATGTGATTAGCCGATTAACTATCCATGGTGAGTAATTGAAAAGGACAGGTGTGGGCCTACCTAATAAAGTGGCCTGTGAGTGCACATGCCCTTATTAGTACAAGGTAGATGGTAAATGGACTGTACTTATATGGTGATTTTCTATCTTATCAAGATACTCAAAGCACTTTACAACACAATCTGTGTCCTCATTGACCCATTCATACAGCACTCTACTAGATCTCTACAAAGACTAATCAGAGCTTTATCACATTCATACACTGAAGGGACACACATTGGAGGCAATAAGGGGTTCAGTGTCTTGCCCAGGGACACTTTGGCATGTGACTGCTGGTGGAATCGAACCCCCAACTCTTGCATTGGAGGACGACTGCTCTAACCACTCAGCCACAGCTGCCAAGGTTGAATGAATGAAGCCAAGTACACAATGGCAAATAGTTTGTGCACGTTAAGACCAAGTAGCTGCCTTAAATAACACAAACACATTTAATAAACAGAGTTGGAAACATTTAGCTTGATTTGATTAAAAAAATATATATATATATATCTTCACAGTTGATTATTTTACAATGGAAACGAGCACAATTAGAGGTTTTATCTATTCTGCGACACAGACTAACTGGTAGTCTAAGGCAGGCCAGCTGTTCCCTTGTTCCATCAGAGCTTTTTAAGCTAACCTCTGCTCTTCTTGCTTTACCAGGTGACATTACAGGAAGGTCAAGAAATATTGGGAAACTGACACAGTCATTTGAACTCAACCTGACTGAGCTGCGATCAAGTTGCTGAATGGTCTGACAAAGCAAATACACTGTCTGCTGGTTGGTTTTTAATGGGACACTTGCAGTTAGAATCAGCTACTAGCACAACTGTTCTGACCTCCGACAACAAACCTCTTGTTTTGGTATGAACGAGCAACTCTAGTCACCACAAGAACATTTTTGGGCTTAAATAACAAACTATTCACTCTATTTCAAGAAAAGAAACTTTGTTTTATGGATGTAATGAGACATAACTTGATAACTTGAGATGAGGTCATGAAATAATCGAGGTGTGTTCTCATGTAAATCAAACAAAGCAAATTAGGACACAGGAGAAAATACATTTAATTTCTTTTGCTTCTTATCGTTATAGACGTTTTTTTGTGATTGCTAATGTTGATTAGTTGTGGCAGCCATCTTGTTTTGGGCTGACTAAAATATGCACGAAATGAAAATTACAATTCTATAAAACTTGCATTGAAATATGTGTAATGGTTAAATTATTTTGCTAACTGATATCACTAACTTCAATATTTGGCTGCTTTCAAAACAGCTTACATGATCATTTAGCTTTCAAAGTTTAAGTTGATGATCAGTCTCAGCTAATACCCACAACAAATTTTAGCTCAAAGTTTATAAAGCTGAAGTAGAGACACATTTAGCTAGTGTTAATTAGTGGCAGCAGCCATTTCTAACTCCAAAAGTGATTAGTTTAAGATGTACATCCATTTATTTGTTGGAAGGTTTGATTAAAATCTGTCCAGCGGTTCATGTCTCACAAACATTTGATCACAACATTTTTCACACTATTTTATTTATTTATTTATTTATTTATTTTGATCGCCTCTACACAACTTTTTACAGTTACTAATGTGTATACATAAAATCAGGCACCACGCTCCAAATATATTCATAGCTATTTCTGGTATTCAAGGTTGGCGTTCATCTCTAGTCTTTTGGTCTTTTTACATCTGCTTTTTGGTTGAAATTAAATAAATTAGTTGTGTTGGTATTTAGTGTTGTGAGAGCTAAATGTCCTCAACAAAGAATGTTACCAGGTGTCTGAATGACCACAGAGTGCAGCTGAAACATAGGTAGATATAAACCAAAGTAATGGTAATAATGAATTTACACAAACAACAAAGAAAAGTTGATTTGCTGATAGATATCCAGAGAATAAGCATGAATCTAGATCAATAGGAGGGGGGTCCGAGGGTCCTTCCCCAGAAAATTTGGTATAAAAGCGATGCCATTTCCTGCATTTTGGTGTATTTTAACAGGTTGTTAAACATCTGTAAACATTTGATTAAAATGAGTAAAAACAGGTCTCTCTTGTAAATGAGTCCTCGAGGCTCAATGAGACTAACAACCTGTTTGAATTGAAATTTATATTTTACAAAGCAGCAACAGCAAGCCTGGGTGTGAATAGAGCAGCGCCGATTCTGTCAAGCGTTCCCCCACCACCCCAAAAAACAAACAAAAAAAACCCCACACACACAAACTTCAATGTCCGACCTGAACTCTTCTCAGCTGAATTCAGTCCTGTGCGTTGTTCTGCTCCAATCTCTATCACCACTGTCAGGTGCTTCAATTCTCTCTTGTCCAGCTATGAACAATCCATCTGTCCATTTATTTTACATAATAAATTGGACGGTCTTTTCAACATTTTGATCCTGTTATTTTGACTAATTTTGAAACGTGCAATGTGAATAATACACATCAAACATTTTACTCGTTTTTTTTTTTTCCTCTAAGCTTTTTCATTCATTATCTTTGAAATGCATGCAGGAGTTCTGACACATTGGCAGATGTGTGCGCTCTGCAGAGCTGTCTGGAGATGCTCCTGTGCATAAAACTTGCACTGTCTGCAGGGCGCACAGCTGAGCAAGGTGAAGCCGACACCCCACCCACGTCAAAAATTCCAGTAAATACAATGAGTGGTTAGTGCTACGCTTGTGCTGGTTTGTGCTGTTAAAATGTTTGTTTGTGCTGCTTTGGTTTCTGAGACACAGCTAAAGGTGGATGAAGACGCTTCATCTCCGTGGGACATGCGTCTCTGCTGGGCAGGAGCGTGTGAGCGAGCTGGTGTGCCTGCTGCAGCCGCAACACAGACATGGACAACGTCTCCTCTCATTGTATTTTTAATAAATAATCAAAATAAAAATGTGTGATGACTTTGAACTTTTATGGGCGGAGATATGAGCTGCCGGATCCGAGCGAACTGTTGCCGGAACGCACACTGTGAAAATGAGGGAGTTCCCAGATCTTGTTCAAGCAGGATCTGGCTCAAATTAACCACTGGTAGTAACTGTAGAAAAGTAAATAACAAACATGTGTTTGTTAGAACAGGAGGTTTAATTTTTCCGATAATGGTGCTAAATTCTTTAACTGTAGGGGGAGCTGAAGAGCAAGGAGGTGATAAATGTTCCAAAGTTTCTTCATGAAGAAGAAAATGTTGAAGCCTTTCCAAAATGAACATTCAGTTGATTTAACCACATATTGGATTAATCACTCAGCAGCCAAACTGATATTTGTACAACAGCTTATTTTTTCTGTATAAAATTAGTACTTTTCATGTAAAAAATACTTCAAACAAATAGTA